TTATTTGCTTGGGTGTTGTACTTAGTACTCAGTATGCACTCTCGGTAGGAAATCCTTTCGGTGATTTTCATCCGAACTCCCCCTTTCAGCAGGCGGTGTTTAAGCTTTATGCAGCACATTAAAACCATATGATGCACTCAACACTGCATTGACCATGACGCTTTCCTCCCCCATGGTCTTTTGCGTACTCAATCGCCGACGTATGTTGACAAGGACTATACGAACCTCACGTCTCATGGTGCCTCGAGTCAATGAAAAGCTTATAGAGCAATACCTCGAGGGCAAAACACCGGTCGTGGTGATCGTCCATGGGTCGACTCGGGGGTAGACCGGTTCGACGATTATCGTTTTCCTTGCCAAAAGGAGAGATAGAGATCTTTCATCATTGGTCAATGTTAATAGCAAAGTCGCAGTATTCCGTTTTCTGTTGACAGTGCTTGCTAACCAACCCCTGGAGCAAGTTACTATTTGTCTACGACGCGATGGTTTTTTGTTTTTCTTTTTTCCAACGCTTCCTTCTAGTGCGTGGACTCCACCGGAATCCACCATTTGTTGGTTTTTGACTTTTTCCTTTTTGATTTCTATTCTTTCCTCCGATTTCCGTCAACTCCTAGTCTCCTACTCCTATGCTTTAGCGCTAATAGGTTGTGAATCAATGGCTTCATCGTACTAGTCCATTTTTAGAAGAGTCTGGGTTGAGGAACTGATTGAAAGGGCCCTTGGTCTGTGATCAGTACTATCCCACAGACTGCCGGGCTCTGGAGAATGTTGCTGCCGAAGTATAGCCTGTGATCCAGACTGGCGACCTGCATGGTTCGGATTCCGAGTTAGTGAACCCCGTTGCCTGAAATAGTATGCTCGTCCTGCTTGGTGTGTTTCGAAGGTTTCCACACTAAACGTTAGCCCAATGTCATTTGCTTTCCCACTGGCAGTTAGGGATCCACCCGGCTAACTTGGCCTTGAAGATCCGGCTCGATCACAGATACTCCAGTTACTCCCAGGGGCCGTGTGCTAACTTCCAATGAGGGAAAGCCGGGCTGGGGTGCGGTCTCCATCGCACAAGGTAGTAGTAACCATGGAAGCAGACGCCTCAGGGGTATATAAACCCCAGCGAAGATCACCTCTCTCTGAACTTCAAGCCTTCGTCAATCGCTTCAACTTGGTCTCTTCAGTCGGGGCCTGCCTTTCATTTTTATTTTGTTTGATACTTGTTCTTTTTTATTTACCAGTCTGTCGTTAATAAACTTTGGCTGCTAACAGCCAGTCATCTTTTCTTTTATCTTTTCTGAAGTCATTCGTTGATATCTTAGCATAATGCGTGCTAACAACCTTCTGTTGCTCGCCGGTCTGGCGAGCTCCGTTGCTGCTTACCCCACTGATATCGAGAGCCGTACTCTTGGCCCCCTTCTGGAAGGTATTGGCAAGGGTATTGCCGATATTGGTGAGGGTGTTGGAGAAGGGATTGAGGATGTCACCAAGGGCTTGGCCGGCCTGATCAGCCTCCTCTTCGGTGGCAGCAGTGGCCACACCACAGTAACCATCCTCGAGGGAATCAGCGCTCAGGCAGCCGCGGCCCTCCAGGGTGGTGCTTTGGGATGCACCGCTGGTACTATCCATGCTGACGCACGTGCGGAGTTGGTTGCATGGCTTAAGGCTCATGCTGAGTTTGATGCCTCTTTGAAGGCAGCCCTCGTGGCCTGGGCCCAAGGCGGAGCCTCCGCCACCTTGTCCGTGGATGTCTGTGCTGGACTGTCACTGTTCATCCCCACTTGTGCCGACATTGCCGCTAAGGGTGATCTGTATGTGACCCTGGACGGTGTCTTCTCCTCAACCGATCTTGCTGCCGAAGTTGTGCTCAGCGCTTCGGCTCAGTCTTCCCTGTCTACCTTCCTCTCTGGACACCTTGGTCTTGGTCTCGATGTCGACATCAGGGCTGGTCTTGGCCTCTGTGCTGGCGGTGGTGTTGTCGCCGATCTGGCCGCGGATGTTAAGGCCGCCCTGAAGGCTTGGCTCTCTGGCTCGGAGTGCACCTTGAGCCACTCGCTGAAGGTCTCTATTCTTGCCTGGTTGGAGGGTAAAGTTGAAACCGGTGTCGTCTCGATTGGCTCTGTTCCTTCCGGTGGTTTGGCGACTATCTCCGCTGGTGCTGCTATTGGCAGCCTCGTTGAAGAGTCTGGACTTCTGGTTGCCAGTGCCCAAGCTTCCCTCTCTGCCTTCCTCGAGACCGACATTGTTGCTGACCTTGAGGTTGAGATCCTCACCGCCCTCAAGGCTTGTGCTAAGGGTGGTCTCGCTGCTGATCTCAGCGTTGAAGTCCGTACCGCTTTGGCTATCTGGCTCTCTGGCTCCAGCTGCCGTCTTGGTGCCGAACTCAAGTCTGTTGTTCTGTTCTGGCTTACCTTTGCTGTTTCTGCCGATGTCGCGGTTGATGTGAGCGGTAGTCTTCTCACTGATCTCACCTCGTTCCTCACCGGAACTGTTGACACCCTTATCGGCACTAACCTCCGTGGTGTGATCTCTGTTCTCATCTCTGGCGAGAGCCTCGTCTCCGTTTCCCTTGATGCTCGTGCTCAGCTCGCTGCCGTCTGCGGTGGTGCTGCTGGTATTGAGATTGACACTCAGATTATCCTCGTCATCATCCAGTGGCTCTCTGGCTGCGACACCGGATCTGGCGTCCCCATCCGCCCTCCTCCTTCCGGCTCCGTTGTCCCCAGCATTCCCGCTTCTACGCCTGTTGCCTCTACTCCCGCTGTCTCAACTCCTCTTGTGCCGACTCCTGTCCCCACCAGTGCCGGTGCGACTGGCAGCGACGTTCCTTCCGTTCCCGCTGGCTCTGCTACTACCGGTGTTACCTCCGGTGTTAGCTCAGGCTCTGTTGTGCCTACCCCTAGCGGCCCCGCTCCTAGCGATGAGGCCAGCACCACTCCCTGCGATACCATTACCTCTGAGACTGTCATTGGCAGCGCCACCACCGAGTATCCTTCCAGCCCCGCCCCCACTGATGTCAGCCCTACCGGTTCTGAGTCTGTGAGCGTTCCTGCTGTTCCTACTCCCAGCGGCCCTGCTTCTAGCGGCCCTGCCCCAAGTGACGAGGCCAGCAGCACTCCCTGTGATACCATTACCTCCGAGACTGTGATCGCCAGTGCCACCACTGATATTGTTCCTACTGGCCCTGCTGTTACTGGTGTTACTTCCGGTGTTAGCTCCGGCTCTGTTGTCCCTACCCCTAGCGGTCCTGCCCCGGGTGAGGAGGCCAGCAGCACTCCTTGCGACACTATTACCTCTGAGACTGTCATCGCCAGCGCTACTACTGATGTAGTCCCCACTGGCCCTGCCGTTACCGGTGTTACCTCCGGTGTCAGCTCTGGCTCTGTTGTCCCTACTCCCAGCGGCCCTGCCCCCGGCGAAGAGGCTAGCAGCACTCCCTGCGATACCATCACCTCCGAGACTGTGATCGCCAGTGCCACCACTGACGTGGTTCC